TTGGTCCATGAAGCACTTGAATTGACTGTTTTGCCCTTTTAGATTATCTTTGTATTTTTTTTATAATTTTTATTTTGTAAGTATTAATGAAAAAAAGAAAAGAATTATGCTCGTCCACCCCATCATTCCATATGTACCCCCACCCTTTATCTATCTCTCTCTCTATCTATCTATCTCTCTTCACCATCTTCCCAATCTATCTCGTTTTTTTCTCCCCAGAATTCCAATCTGCAACATGATGCCCCCATCAAACTCGTTCACTTCACCATTTCTTCACCTAATCACAAACCAAAACACCCTAAAACTAAATCCATCAAGAAAAGTCAAGATTACAACACCTAGTACCCTGTCTACAACGATGTTAGAATGCCTAACATGGGTAACTGTGTGCCTGAAATCCATGAGCTAAGGAAGAAATCACGAATATGGCTCGGGACATACCGAGCCATTTTGTCATCTCCAAGCGATGTATAGGCTGCAGATAAGGGAGGAGTCGATGGTGTTTTTGGAGGAGCAGATAACAGAGGCGACCGATCGGAAAGAATATGGATCAAATGACAACTGATTAGAGCCCGCAACTAGTAGGTAGGGATGAACATTGCTCGATTTAGATCCATTATTTGTTGGCAAAAAAAACCTAATTTTGTTATTTCGGGTTTCTTGATTATGTTCATCAGAAGTGGGGCTTGCTTCACTTTGATCTCTGTCGAATAAATCTCGTTTTTACTTGATTAGGTTTGATTTGGTTTGCTGATGCATCTTCAGTTTGGGGATTCTTGAGGAACCAAATCTCTTCAGTTGGTTGATGGTGTTTGGGTACCAACAACTGTAGAATATAGGATGGAATAGAGGCGACAGAGACGAGAATGGGTTAGGGGAGAAAATCAGTTTGTTTTGGTTCACTTCCTTCCCATTTGTCTGATCCATCTCATAGTTTGTTTATGTGCTTAATATCTCAGATCGTATTAAATGTGTTGTAAGAAGGAGTTGTAGATCTGAGGATTTAACGGAGTTCACGATAAGAATGAAGGACCATCGAGAGAGAGAGAGAGAGAGAGAGAGAGAGAGAGAGGTTTTAGTTTTTAGTTTTTATAATTAATGAAATACTGCACTAAATAAAGAAAAATATAAAAGAGAAATAATAAGGGTAAAATAGTCATTTTAATTTATCAGGGACCAAATTCACATAAATCTTTTGATTTTGGACTATCCATGCAAGTTGAAAAGTTTTTGGATCTTATCCACAGTTTTTTGAATACCACAGGAACTAATTTTGCAGTTTTGTCATATGAATTTTCATGGATTAGATAAATATATAACCGAAGGAAAAAACATATATCTATTTCTTGCTTTCAAACCATAAACACACATAAATGCCTACAAAAACAGAAATTTAATTTGAATTCTCAAAATCAAACCAAAAACCTCTCTTTCAACATAACTAAATATAATTTATTCTAACTAAAAAAAAATTATTGATTACATGCATATCAAATGAAATCATTTTTCTATTAAGTAACATTGTAATATAGATTTTCATATATTAGATAAATATATAATTTCATGAAAACATATATCAAATGTATAAATTTCTCTTATTTCAACCTAACATATAAATGCTTACATAAAAAAAACTTAATGCAGTATATGAAATAATGGAAACAATACACAAAATTTTGAAGGAAGTTAACAAAAAATATAAATATTATTTTCCTCTATCTCAATTCTATAAACCTATAACCTTAGTTTATCTCAATAATATATTAAACAATTAAATATCATAACCACTAATTAAATATCATAAATTAAAAAAACCTATTTAGTGTTAATGATCAATCAGTTGAAGAATTTTTATTTATGATTAACCAATATAATTAACCAATCAACATAGGAGAACAAACTAAAAAAAGTTTAGTTGTTTCAAATATATATAAGTCTTGAAAGTTTCAAATTAATATTATTAAAATCTTAAATGGAATTGGAATTATGACATAGGATTATTTTATTAGTTTATGTAAAGTCGTTTAATATTTTATATGGTTACATAAAAATTGGTCAAAATATGTATTTTGTTGATATTTTTTATTACGATAAATTACGAATCAAATAATATAAATTAGTTTTAAAATCGGATGAGTTTTATGGTATCAAGTTCAACGGAAAATTATATACAATCTATTTAATCAATGTAGATTCAAATGTTTCATAAAATTTTATATTTCAACAATATAAAGTATATAAAACGTATATAAAAATATAAAGAAAAATATCTTATGTTATAAAAGTATAAAGAAAATATATTTTAAAACCAAAAATGTGTCATATACGATATATTTTGGATTGAGATAAAATTTTATCACTACGTAGATAAAAATAAGACCGTATCAATAATTTATTAAAAATTTATACCACATATTGTGTAATAGAAATTATAAAAGAGAATAAATTTAATTAGTTTAAATAAAAAAATAACAATGAAAGGGAGTTGGACAGGCCATACCTTATTATAATAAGCTTAAATTAAAAATTAAAAGCAAATATGCAATAGGGATGCCCTGCGTGTAGAACCCCAACAATCTAATTAAAAATAGAGTTGCACAAATAGAAAATCCGATTTGATCCGATTTAGCTAGGACGATGTCAAACCAAATCCGATTCGGTGTTGAGTGGATTTAGGCAAATTTAAACCCACGAATAGATATGCGTTTAGTGGATTTATGCAAAATTGGTCAAAATTCGATTATCAATCTGGAGTCTAACCCGATCCTGAGTTTGGATTTACGATCCGATTTATAATCCGTTTGATCGGATTATCCGATCTTTGGTGGTCTTTGGGTTCCAAATAGGATTTTATCCAAATTGGATATTAGGTTTTTTGTGCACATCTAATTTAAAAAAGGCACAACAATACTATTTGGGTGAAGTTTATTTGTGTTAAAATCGTCAAACAAATATTATGGATGTGTTTGGAAAGATTAGTCGATATATAGAAGTTGAATAAATAAATATTTTTGTTTTTATGTAATTTTAAAAATTTAAAAGCAAAGAGCTACTTTTATCAAATAATTATGTATAAATAAAATCGGTTTTAGCTTTCAACATGGAAACTTAACTTGTAGCTTTTATTAATGCATAAATGATTGGCAAAATAGTTGTTATATTTTAAAAGTATAATATTACATAAAAACAAAAAGCTAAAAGTTTCTAGGTAGTTTTTAGATTAATGATATTTTTGTTTAAAATAAAAGTAAAAGCTCATGTATGTTATTGAGCAAAGTTTTTTCTTAAAAGGCTCTTAATTTTTTTTTTATAAGCTCCACACCGAACCTTAAAAAAAAACTATTAATCATGCCATATCAAATGTTTATATAAATGTAAAATATAAAATGTAATACCATCTAAAACCTAATTATAAAAAAAACATCGTATTTTTTTTTACGGGAAATAACAAAAAATAATTTCATAGTAGTTTTGATTTTATACTAAAACATTAGTGTTATTGAAGCTATATAAATATAAATAATTTATAATTTAATATACCTTTCATTCCGCCAATAAATGAAGAAAAAAACACGTTCCTTCCCGTGGAATCAAAATGGGCGAAAACAAATAGGGGATTTGACTTAGTAAGGTAATTAAGTATTTCAAATGTTCACATATGGGTAATATTGTTTTTTTGTACTCATTTATCCAACAAACTTGTTTCAGCCGTTCAATAATAACCAACATTACCGGCTATTGTAAGTTTTGGGTGATGTGGCATCTACGTGGCTTGTACGCTACAATACTCATCACCTACGTGGCATTGAGAAGTGCTTACATTATAAGAGGGTGAGATACGACAGCTTATTAATTAAAACCCTAGATCGATCGATGGCATCTTCTTCCTCATCCTTTTCTTCCAAACGACAAGATGAATTACAACCGGATCATCCATGTGATTGCGATTTGCCATCTCGTGTGAAGACATCAAGAACCCCAGACAATCCTGGAAGGAAATTCAGAGTTTGTCAAAACTCACTGGTAATTCATATTTTTTACTTCTTCTTCATCCTTCAATTTAACATGTTCTTATAAATTTCTTGAAGAATGGAAAAAGTCCAAGCTGTAAATTTTGGCAATGGTTGGATGAGGATGAAGGGAGGAAAGATGGAAGAGGGCATTACAGGATGAAAGCAGAAGAAAGCTGCAATCTTACCTTGAAAATTTGTACCTTGGAGAATGAAATCAGCATATGTAGGATGAAGATTGAAGAAGAGAAGAACAGGAATAAACAAGAACTTGACAAAGTCAACTGGAAATTGTTTACCCATAGACTTGCATTAATTTTCTTGTTTCTCTTGTATGTCAAAATGTTTTTTTAAATTATGTATTATGATGTAGTATGACTAAATTATGTATGCTTTTGTGATGTTTTCAATGAAAAAGGTTATATTCTATCATTGGAATGGAATAGTACATTGTAATGGAATGGGTATTAAACTTGGTAGTATAAAAGATAGTAATAAACATTGTTATGGAATTGAATCATTGTAATTGAATCATTGGAATGGTAGTGTACAAAACTTGTAATGTTATTGTTAATCACTGGAATTGAATTGTTCAAACAATGTAATGGAATTGTGATTACATTGTAAAGGAACTGTGATTACAGTTGATATTCTAAAAGATGGTAATAAATTATAAATAATACAAATGGTATTAGAAAGATGTGCAAAAGATGGTAATTGAAACATTGGAATGGTAGTGTACAAAACTTGTAATGTTATTGTGAATCATTGGAATTGAATTGTTCAAACAATGTAATGGAATTATGATTACACTGTAAAGGAATTGTGATTACAGTTGATATTCTAAAAGTTGGTAATAAATTATAAATAATACTAATGGTATTAGAAAGATGTGCAAAAGATGGTAATATATTATAGACATTCCAGGGAACATTGACTTCAAAAGATGTGTCAAAAGTTTTACATAACATAGTTAAACATTCATTACACCCAAAAGATGTGCAAAAAGTTAAGCTATTCCAACTAGTTTTCAAAAGATGTGCCAAAAGATTCCAAAGTTAAAAGATGTCAGTCAAAGATGCCAAAAACATTAACAACAGTACAATAAGCCAAAAGTTAATCCAACTCATACGGATTGTCATCACTACTGCCCTGTTTTCCCTCCCACATCTTTCTTATCTTCAGTTTTGTAATTCTTTCTGAAGGTTTCCTTGCCCTCTTTCCCACTACAACTTGAAAAGCTGGTATTTCCACTTGATCTTGAACTACAATTTGGTTAGCATCTTCAACTTGAACTTGCACTTCAGGTTCAACTTCAGCTTGAACTGCAAGGTGAACTTCAACTTGGTTAGCATCATGAACTTCAGGATGATTTTCAGGTTCAACTTCAGCTTGCACTTCATCTTGAACTTCATGTTGCACTCCATCTTGGACTTCAGGTTCTACTCCATCTTCAACTTCAGGTTGCACATCATCTTCAAATTCAAGATCAAAAGAGTCAACATCACTTTCAGGTTCTATTTCAACTTCACTGTCACTGTCAATATCAACTTCATGTGCCAATACAACCTTCACTTTATCTGTTTTGTATTACTTGAAAAGTTAAGTTATGCCCAATATGTTAAGTTATACAAGTTATATACAAATAAATATATCAAACATACCAGCTTTCTTGGATTTCTTTTTCTTTGAACTTGCATTTGATGATTCCCCAATTGGTTTTTGAGGACAGGTTGTTCTATTATGCCCACTTTCCCTACATATGCTGCATTTCATCACACTACCTCTTTTTGTGATTGAATGCTTTTTTCCTTGGTTTTCCCTCTCAATCTGATCCCTTTTCCTTTTTGTTGATGGTCTTCCTGGTAGCCTTCTCCTTTTGGGGGCAATGGGCTGATGTAGTCTACATGAGGCCACATGTCACTACCATTTAGTGGGTTAATGGTATTCCTGTAACAGTTTAGGTACATTGATGTGGTAAACCATGGTGACACATACTCCTGTACATCCCTGTTGAGGCTTGCAATGCAAGCATACCCATGCACACAAGGGTAACCTGTTAACTGCCAAGTTCTGCAGGCACATGTCCTACTACCAATATCCACAACATATGCATCATACCCAAGTCTGACTTCATACTGTTGATAACCAGATGGTATTACTTTCCAAAACCTGTCCATATACACATGTTTAAAGACAAACATATATAAGGACAAACAGTTTTAAGCACTTACCTTTGAAGATCCTTAAGCTTGGACAACTTCAGCCTAATGGTAGGACATATGGTTAAATCCCAAGATTGCCCCTTAATCTTCTGTCTATAAAGCCTCTCCATCACATAAATTCGAATTTCTTCTAACATGGTGATTAGTGGTCTCTTCCTAGCAACTTCAATCACAGAGTTGAAACTCTCAGAGATACCATTTTCATATGCATCACAAGCCCTATCAGTCTGAAAAAATGCTTTACTCCAAGTTTTAGGGTCCCTTTCCATCAAATGGTCATAAGCTAGTGGCTCTAATTTCTTGATTTCATTCATGTGTTGTTCAAATTTTGCAGGGGTAGTAGCTGCAGCAGCATACCAGAAAAGCTTTCTAAACACTTGGCCCTTAAACCTTTTCAGGAAGTTAGCACATATGTGCCTAGCACATTGCCTATGCTCTGCTGCTGGGACCCTTTCCTTCACAGCCTCAAGTAATCCCTGTTAGCAATAGACACAAAATTTAAACAACAAAAACATAACATAAGCTAAAATAAAGATGAAAATAATAAAAATTGATTACTTTGTGTTGGTCTGATATCAAGGTTAGTCCATGCCCAACTCCCATTCCAAGGTCCTCAATTAGAAGGTTAATAAACCACTTCCATGTTTCTTTACTTTCCACTGATACAACAGCCCAAGCAATGGGATATATATGGTTATTTGCATCTCTACCTATAGCAGAGAGCAACTGACCTCTGCATATGCCCTTTAGGAAGCAACCATCTAGTCCAATTACCCTCCTACAACCTTCAATCCATCCATCCTTCAATCCCTTGAAACATACATAAAACTTTGAGAAATATGTGGTTCCATCAGGCATGACATCTACATCCATCTTCACTGTTGATCCAGGGTTAGTCCTTCTTATCTCTTCTCCATAGCTCCATGTTTTTGCATAATGCTCTTTCAAAGTACCCTCTATCTCCTGAAATGCATACTTCCTTGCATTTCTGCATTGACCAACACTTGCAATCAAATTAAATTTCTTGCTGACCTTAGCTTTCAACTTCCTTATACTCATCTTTGGTTTCTGAAGTATATGATTCATGAAATGCTTTGCTATCCATTTATAGGTAACAATGGACCCAAATTTGAACACTCTTGCACAATTATGCATATCATTCAGAGATTTAATCTGGAATGATTTTTCACTGCTCATCCAGGTTGCCCATAATCTAAAAGGACAACCTTTACCCTGTTTATTTGTCTTACCTTTACAACATTTTACCAATAACCTTTCATGATCACTTTTCTCATACCATAAATCATATCCATTTTTGACTGCATAGTTGGTGATACACAACTTCAATTCCAATGGATTAGAAAACTTCATACCCAAAACTGGCACCATTTGCTCCCATTCTTGATTCTCATTATGGACAGGGAACACAACATCCTTAAGTTTCCCATTGTTTGCTTCCTCTTCATCATCATCACTAATATGCCCTGAAAGTTTGTCCAAGAATGGGTCTCTAACAGTTTTATCAAAAGTATGTTCATCTTCATCATCCCATTCATGTTCATATTCCATTTTCATTGAAACTTCAGAATCCTTGTCATCCTCTTCATCCAACTCATCCAACTCATACCCTTTACCATCTTCTAAGAACTCGTTATCAGCCCAATCAAGAATTGGTTCATTTCGGTGGTCAATGTACACATCTAACTCACTCTCAAGACTATCACTCTCCAGACTATAAACAGTCTCCACAAACTCCCAATAATCAGCATCACTGTCGATTCTTCTAATACCCTCACACAAGCTTTCCTTTCTCATACAGTAGTAGACATTATCACATTCTCCATTTGTTAATTTCGTAAGCCACAAAAGAAACTCTTTATACGTAAATCCCCAAAATCCACATCACGTACATTTGTTTTTACGGGGTCTAAGTACACCAATGGGTTTGGCGAAAAGAATCCATTGTAATGAAAATCTACAGATACATACATACCTGTAGATGAGGATGCCATGCTAGTAGTCGACTTCAATTCCAACTTCAATTCCAAGACCTAATCGTCGATTTGATGTATCGATTGATTTCTCACAGAAGAAGGTAATCGAGGTGTGTTAGCTGACGACGACGAACCCTAATTAAATGAGAAAGGGGTGTAATGGCCACGTAAGATTCAATGTAATGTTTTAAACCGAGCTAAATCAATGTTACCGGCTAAAACAGGTAATAGCCGGTAATGTTGGTTATTATTGAACGGCTGAAACAAGTTTGTTGGGTAAATGAGTACAAAAAAAACAATATTACCCATATGTGAACATTTGAAATACTTAATTACCTTAGTAAGTCAAATTCCCAAACAAATAAAAATTCATATTTTGCAAAAAAGTATTTATCTTTTATATATTTATGGCGAACAAACATTATTTTCTTATTCGATCGTATAACTGAAACAAGCATCAGCTGACAATCTTTATGATCATGCTTGGTCTTATTTATTTATTTGATTTTTCTTTTCATCATCATTGATTATACATTTAAACCGGAATTAACAAAGTGTTCTATGCTCTTTTTAGTTTTTGACTTTTTTCTATAACACAATGGGCTTTGTTATAACAGAATGGGCTGCTTTTGTTTGGGTTATCCAGCCATGTCATTTAGAAACTTTTAACTACAAATATAATAGAGGTTTTCTTTGTATACATTATCAAATTGATAACAAATTAAAGTATCATATAACTTAAATAAAAATATATTTTGTTACATCAGTCAATAAAAAAATAAGCATGATACATAAATATGCATTTGTAACAGCCCACTAACTGATACAATTATGTCTTTAAAGAAATTATAGCTTACAACATAATCGTTGGCGAAATTCACTACTACCATTATCATAAATGTCCTCTTACGGGAACAAATCTATAGAGTATCTCCTCTAATGCATGGGTTCATGAATTACTCATAGTTCGAACGCACATATTTTTTTAATGTCAACGAAGTTTTGGATATTAGCTTTATTTGTTTTTGTTTTATAAAAGATCATAACCAATAACTAGTTTAGAAGTCACGGAAAAGCAATCCAATCAAGGTGGACGAGTACACGCATAATCAGTCTTCAAAGAGAATCATTTTGATTGTCGAATTCGAGGTGTTATAACAATCTTTAGTTATAGAATGATAGATTTTTGTATATTAGTATGGCTGGATTTCAGACTTGACAAACAATCTGGATTGTCGAATGTTGTGAACAATATCAAATCATTAGTAATATATCAAAAGCAAATAAGCTGACAAATAATATTGATAATTAAATGTCGAGCCTTTGTAAATAATAAACCAAATTATTGTAAGATTACCAAATTTCATCCAAAAATCAAATTGTTCGTTCCCGATCAAATCTTATTATAAAAAAGATAGAAGAAGATTGTGTTGTTATGAACGGATCAAAGCCTAAACAAAATTAAAGCAACATGAAGATTGCAAATTATTGACTGGTAATTGCATGAAATAACTCATGTCATTAAAGGTTTTTACTTCACTCAACATTGTAAGCTTCATAGTAAAACTCCTTTATTTAATGCAAACTCAAAATCTAGAACAACCCACTTGCTAAATTCGCAGAGATAGAAGAGGGTAGGATAGATCTTGATTTTTTTTATGGAATAAATAGGACCTGAGAGGTCTTATTTATACTCATATGAAAGCTCTAGAAGCTTAAAAGTTAAATTGATGACGACACTTGGCCTCTAATAGGTTACCACATGGCGTTCCATTGACTGGATAAAATCCTAGGAGTTGGCGTCGTTATTTGGAAGGTTTTTAGTGCTTATCTACGAAATTAATGTCTGGTCAACTCCGATCGGGTCCAGTGAACTTGATCCGACCTGAATCCAACGAAAAATAGAAGCTCCTCAACTCTTAGCGGTGATGTGGTCGTGCAAAGTGTGTCTAAATCGCTCCATTTTGCAAACATTATGTCTCACATCCATGACCCAATCCTAGGTACGTGTGTGGGATTGGCCCATCCTTTGACCCACTAAAGCAAGTGAAGGCTAAGTCTAAAGAATATCTTATCAACCAACTAAAGGTTCTTCCCTCACTTATGTAGGACACATAGAATTTACCAACATGGAAATCTACCCTTTAAATTTCCATCAATCCCCCACCAAGTTAGAAAGAATCCTTTCACTAAGACAGATGACATTATGTAGGCGCCATAAAGATAAAACCCCTGTTAATATGGACAAAAAGCGATTGATTCAATGGTGTCTTATGGATTTAAACCAAAACCTCATAACCTCTCCGGTTTACCCCATACATCACCTACCATCTTTGTGTTCTCACTAAGTGTGAATATGGACATGTGCTATAAAATCTTTTCATGACCCTCTACAAGATATACCACTAATATTCATTTAACGTGACATCACCTTAATATCATATAAGCAAAGTTTTATAATATATTTGTTGCTTAGATGTCTCAAAATTTGTTAAGAGTTTAACTCAGCATTGTTCTCGACAACGACATACTATATTATCTCACATGGATCTATCATTATTGATAGAACCTTATTTTGTTAGTGACTTCATTATTTCCCTTTAAACTTGAAAATTAGGATAACTAATTGATGGGTTTTCTAAATTACTTCTATGTACTTGCGAAATTTCACATAACAATTATGGGCACATGCAACCTAAAAATTCTATGGTTTTTCTTCTAATTGTAACATACTTTGAAAAACTAAATAATCCTAGCTATAATAAAAATTACAAAGTTTGGTTACATATCCTATTGCTATTATTGCAAATAGCAATGTACTTTGAAGAACCCTTCTTGGAATCGTATCCCTAATAGTGTGGAAGCCTCTAATGAGGTCACACCTAAACCCTAGGAAACCCTAGGATTGAAATAAGATATAGGGGAAAGGATAATTTTGAATTATCTAAGTGAAAAGGAGGGATCGGTTTTTAGCTTAGGGTTAGGACCCTTTATATAGCTGTCATATAACCCTAAAACCTTAGATTTGAATAATAAAACAATACTATTTTATTCCCATTTAGATCTCGTTTCCTTATCTTATTCAAGAGGCTTCTGGAACCCTTCCAAAGCCTCTCAAAAGTATCCATAGGTTGGAGGGTTCTAGAATTGTCTTCCTTGTTCAACTATTGAATAATTACAATTCAATCTTTGCACCTTATATCAATTCTAATTACCTCAAATTTAATTGCAATTAATTTTGATTAATTCTTAATTAATTTTTAACTATTTCTAATTAATATATTAATCATATAATATACTAAAAAATCTTTTAAATATCAATCCCGATTATGAGGTCAACCCAAAAATGACTTTACTATTATTCACTCAATATACCAAGCCACTAACAATTCCAAGTATAACACTCTGAATAACTAGTAAATAGTGTATTCCAATCCACTAACAAACTCTTATTAAATCAGACATCAGCCCTAAGATAAGTGATCAACTATTCCTCCGTTCCACAAGATATTGTATAGACATGAGACATGGATTAGAATCAATTTCATGGTCCAAGATTCCATTTCTTGATCTCTTATTTTTGATGATTGAATTCAGACTACTAATTGAATACATCAATTTAGTCCAGGCTAGGCTTAGCACATGAATATCAACATAAAATCACCAAGGTCTCCACATATATCTCTTTCCCTAATTAGGCAATATGACAAATAAAGTTTGACTATACAATCATATATTTTACTCGTCATGTTATGCATGAAAATAAACTTTATGGGTTCTAATTATGGATGCGATAATGTAAACTAATGCACAAAAGATTCGTAAACTATTACTTATATATCTCCGTTTCAAGAATAGAAGATATTATTGTCTTAGAATTACTCATGATTTAAATCCATGAAGTAATCTCTAAGCACAAGTTTATCCAATACTCAAAATCCGTATTTTATAAGTACTCATGAATATTGCAACAATCTCCATGCTATGTCCAATTACCATGGACAATCTACAAATATTCCATCAAAATCTTAAATCAATACCCACTCCCAAAAGTATGACTGACTATGGAGTTTCGAGTAAGTTAATTACTTTGGAAGAAACATATAAAATGAAACACAATAATAAACTAATTTTCTATGGTATCATACTATTTGAATATAAATAATTTCCTATTATCTAATCACCACATAATTACATATTTATTGATAATATAAATGTTTCGGGGTAATCGACTTAAGAACTAAACTTGTCAACATTTTTCATACCAATGCTCTTAGCATGCATACCATGTCTTCCTTTGGTAATCACTATTATGAACGAATCATTGAAGATATATCCACTGCATAACTAGATCTCCATCCCTAATCCTTTTCTTGGATATAGTAGATTTTCCTCGTTTATGCATTGACCTTTTGTGGTCTTAAGTATCATTAGTCAACCGACTTGTAACACTAGTCAAAATAGGTCAATAACAATCACATGTGATTATACCAATCATGTAATGTGATTTTGTTAAACTAGTAATGTAGTAAAGTCACTATGTATTTCATGATAATTCTAATATAAATATGAACTTTCATACATACTTTATGGTATAAATCAAAGTATACGTCCATACGATTCCATAAATATAAAGAACATCTAAATCTGACTTCGCATGAAGAAGTTATGATAAACCGAACACTATAAAATCTCTATAACATAAGGAATTTAAAATAGGCGTAGAATTATCTATTTGAGTCTAAAAGAGAGTTATAGTTCTCGTAAATACCTACGCATAGATATAAAGAAATTTTAAAAACAGAGTTCGTATGCAAAAGT